TGAGTCTAAAAATTCAGGTCAGAAAATGACAAGAGACTGTCACTTTCCACTTCAGTGAGCGCCAATCTTTTGTTCCTTGGCTGTAGATTTTATCTATCTCTCTATCTCAGCTGAATGTGGTGGATCATGCCTATAATTTCAGCTCTTGGGAAGCAGAGATGGGAGATCACTGCAGATTGCAGATTTGGGGCCAGCCTGGACTGCACAGTGAGTTCAAGGGCAGCCTGTACTACATAGTGAGAGCCTATCTTAAAAAACAAAAACACAAAAATCAATCATCCCCTCATCCCTTGACTAGCGAGGCCACAGAGTGGCTGAGGCACCCTGGTTGCTACATTGTCCTTGCCTTCTCTTCTGGTACCAGCATCTACCTGGCCTCTGCCAGGCCTCTGCTGTTCCAGATCCCAAACTAGCTTTTGCCTGGGAGTCCAGCTCCGTGTAATCCACTCCTGCCAGGCCACAGCACGTCTTGGAGATACCAGGATTCCCATGCTGAGCCCGGGCTGCTGGTGTCTGCAGAAGGCGGGCTGCAGGCCTTGCCCAGTGCATCTCCATCTCCTTGCTGTACCTGTTTGCCCTGTGCACACTGCCTCACACGGGGCCAAGAAACAGTGGGGTCTCCACCCCACTGTTACATGCAAGGTCCACACCAAGGTTCTGTGTTCAAGGGTCTCAAGGTACTAGGTTTTCAGGCTCATCTTCCCAGCGCCCCAACCACACACTGCTCTTCTCTGGCAACTCTGTCACACTTACAGCCAGGTGCTAAGCCTGATGTTTAGCAGTTGGCCCTAAAGCTTCGAGTTATGCCAGTTTCTTTAAAAACTACCATTTTAAACCGGATGTGGTAGTGCAGGCCTGTAATCCCAGCCCTCTGGAAGGCTGAGGCAGGAGGATCACAAGTTCAAGCCCAACCTAACCATTTAGTGACTTGGAGAGACCCTGTCCCAAAGTAAAAAATAAAAAGGTCTGGGGATATAGCTCAGTGCAAAGGAACTGAGTTCAATCCCCAGTACTGCAAAAAGAAAAAAAAAATATTCCATTTTAGAGCCTCCATGGCTTTCACACATCTAATGTTGGCCCTTAGCTACCCTGAATGCATCATCATCTTTTTTGTTTTTTAACAGATTTATTATTATTATTTTTTGAGACGGTCTCACTATGTAGTTGAGGCTGACCTGGAACTCACTATGTAGCCCAGGCTGGTCTTGAACTCATAGGGATCCTCCTGCCTCAGCCTCCTGAGTGCTGGGATTACAGGCGTGTGTCACCACCCCCAGCTTTTTCGGTTTTTGAGACAGGGTCTCACCATGTGGTCCAGGCTGGCCTGGAACTCACAGCCATCTTCCTGCCTCAGCCTCTCTAGGACTGGGATTACAGGGGTGCACCACACACCCAGCCCATTATCATCTTTTTTTCGAGATTCACTGCTGTTAATAAAAGATGGCTTCTTTACCCAGCCCAATTCTACTGTCCCCCAACTAACCCTAGGCAAAAACCTTGACTATTTTCCTGTCACTTCACGCCAAGGGCTGTCACCATCACTCACCACGGACAGTGGTGTCCCTAGTGCCACAAGGACAGAAAGTCACCTAATCTAACAGTCCTGGCCTGAGTGTGAAGGCCGTCAGTACAGTGGACACGCGGTGAGGTGTGGCAGATAATTCTGGGGCCCACAGAGCCTCAGCAGAGAGACAGGGCGGAAGCTGAGGCCAGGAGACCCTGACGTGGTGTTCAGGGACGTCTGGTCGCAGGCAGATCATAGATTTTCCTTCCAAAGCAGGCTGACTCCATTTGCATTTATTGATGTAACGTGATGGATGGGCTCACTCCTCCTTCTGGCATCGTATTTTATGTCGTGCTTTCTCTCTTGAGCGCTTCCTTTGTTTGTATCTTTTGCTCTCTGGTGTGCATGGTGCTTTCTTCAGGCTATTTCATTGCGTCGGTGGCAATTTAGCATGCTATTTCTTCTGGAGGCATCAGACTTTGTCAGGATGAGGCGTGTCAGATATGCTAAGATGAGATCTGATGCATAAAACTGAAGATTGCACACACATAAGTGCACTCCTTGTTTGTTTTTTCTTGCCATTGTTGTTGTTTTATTTTTTAAGAGACAGGGTCTCCTGTATTTCATCCTGGCCTTGAACTCTCCATGTGGCCTGTGGTGATAATCCTCCTGCCTCAGCCTCTGCCTGTTGTGTTTATAAACGTGCACTACCATGCCTGGCTGTTTTACTGTTTTATTTGTGCCCTGAACAGGAATCTTGATAATATCTATTTTGCCAGAGAGAGAGAGAGAGACAGACAGAGAGACAGAGAGAGACAGACAGAGAGACAGACACAGACAGAGATATATGTAGAGAGGAGGTTGGTGTTTGTAATTACATGCATTGCTTCAGTGAGAATATTCCCGAGAGATTTTGATTTTAGTTAGGGTTAATGAGAAACAAATCCTTCACTTATTTTTTCTCAAATCCTTCACTTATAATTTTGCCTGTTTGACAACTAGAAAAATTGTCTGCACATTCTCTGGCCCCTTATGTTTTACACCGTGGTCCTTTTCTGTGACCTACAAAGTCTCAGTGCCAGGCCAAAGAGGGCATATTTCCATTCCTATAAGACCTCTTCCCTGTCCTTCATGTCACCCACTTTGTGCCCTGCACCAAGTAAAATGTCCCTACACCAAGATAGCCGGCAGCATCTCACTCATTGTAAGCAGAATAAGCTGCAGACCTCACACATCCGTTCCACTAACCCAAGCTATCCCATGTCAGCTTCCCTCATCCTTGTCTCACCACCCTACCCCTGACATAGGCAGAGAAGCACTGTGGGAAAAATGAGCTGGGGATCTTAACCAATTGGAGCAAAATTGCCTTATCTATAAAAATCTGACAAAAATACGCACCCATGAGAACATATTGTGGGATCCACTACACACTGTCATCCTCTGGTGGCCCACGGGACTGAAGAGGCTAAAGCTTAAGCTTCTATAGCACAAAGCCTGCTTCTGTAAATGACAATATTTTAAAAAATGTAGCCAATGGCTGTAATTCCAGCTATTTGGGAGGCTGAGGCAGGATGATTGCAAATTTGGAGCTGGCCTGCATTACATAGTAAGACCCTGTGTCAAAGTAAGAAATAGAGGCCAAGCATGGTGATGCATGCCTGTAATCCCAGCACTGGGGAGGCTGAGGGAGGAGGATCACTGTGAGTTCAAGACCAGCCTGGACTACATAAGTGAGTTCTAGGTCAATCTCAAATAAATAGTGAGACACTGTCTCAAAAAAAAAGAAAGAAAGAAAGGGATGGGAATTTAGTTCTATGATACAGTGCCTCTGGGTTCAATGCCTAGTACTGAAAAAAAAATTTTTTTAAAGAAAGGCAGGGCTGGGGATTTAGCTCAGTGGTTCCATTGCCTGCCTCGCAAGTGCAAGTTTCCGAGTTCCAGCTCCAGTACCAAAAAATAAAAAGAAAGAAAGGCAAGTTGGCTGTAGAAATCAAATAGTAAATGATATGAGTCTAGGATGATTTCAGGGTTGGAGGTGTAGCTCAGTGAGGGAGCACTTGCCTAACTCAAGTTTCTGGGCTTGAACCCTAGTGCCACAAACAAAACAAGCCCAACCCCCTCAAAAATCCTTACTACTGTCTCCTGGTGTACCTTGTGCTTTGTAATGTAATAGAAAGACATCAATAAATGCAAACTAGGCATAAGAAAGTCCAGTGTTATTCTGAATTTTCCTTCATGATGACTGGCTTTATTAGGAATAAATATCAAAAAATTTTTTTTCTTAAACCAGGTATGGTGGTGCAGGCCTATAATCCCAGCACTCAGGAGGCTGAGGCAGAATGATCATCTTGAGTTTGAGACCACCCTAGGCTACATGGTGAAACCCTGTCTCAAAAAGAAAAAAAAAAATTTCTTGTTCCAATTACCTGCCTTGCTGGTGCCTGGTCTGCAGGATGTGCTGAGGGTGTGAAGGGCCAGGGGTTTAGCTCAGTGGTTCTGCCACCTGCCTCAGAAGTGCAAGGTCTCAAGTTCAATCCCCAGTGCCAAAAAAAAATGTTGCAGAGCCTCCAAAAAGCAGGAGATAAAGGTAGTGGTACTGGCCAATGGAACCTTGCACAACAAGGATGAACTGTTCTGTATCTGCGCTGTCCTCCAAAATGGTGACCTCCAACCACATGTAGCTCCAGAGCACTTGACATATGTCAAGTCAGACTGAGGAACTGAATTTTAATTTTATTTCAGTTTAATTAATTAAAAACTTTTTTTTTTTTTTTTTTTTTTTTTTTTTTGTATATGGCGCAGTGCCACTGAGCTAAATCCCTGGTTCAATTAAAAACTATTTTTTCAGTTGGGGATTTAGCTCAGTGGTTCTGCCACCTGCCTCACAAGTGCAAGGTCCCGAGTTCAATCCCTGGTACCAAGTAAACACCAAAAAATTTAACAAAAAAACCCTATTTTTTCAATGCTGAGGGTCAACCCCAGGGCCTTTGAGCCACAATCCCTAAGGCCATTACCCCAGACCTCATTAACTAAAACTGAAATAGGCACCAATGCCCAGGGGCCACTATAGAGGGCAGTGTAAACTCTCTGCCCATAAAAATGTTTCAATTTCTTCTACAATCAGAAGAAATAAATTAGGCTGAAGAAAATGTTTTAGTATGTAATATTAATACATTCATCTTTATATCAATTCAGTGGTAAAAATACAATCTTAAAAAATTGTTGCTGAGTGTGGTGGTGCATGCCTGTAATCCCATTACTCTGGAAGCTGAGACAGGAGGAGTGCTCTAAATTCCAGGCCAACCTGTGCTACATAGTGAGTTCAAGGACAGCCTAAACTACATCACAAGACCCTGTCTTAAAACAGAACAAAACTACAAACAAACAAACTATCAAAATTGTTAATTGAAAACAAAGTGCCAAGGACACAGGATAGTCACAGTGTGTGTGTGTGTGTGTGTGTGTGTGTGTGTAGCCGGGCAACTAGTGTGAGAAGAGGGCAGAGAGCAGCTATGCCGGAGCGGGCGAGCTCACGAATCTTTAGACCTCCTTGCCTCGGACTGCATGTTCCAGGGGACAAAGTGGGGGCTCAGCGTGTGGAAGACACTGACAGTCCTCACACAGCGGGCCTCGACCGGCGCGTTGCTGACCGCGCACCCCACCCACCCTACCGGCTGCTTCCACACCCACTTCCTGCTTCAGAGCTGACCCTAGGAAGCATTCTCTGGCTCTCCGAGCCTCAATTTCCCCTTTGTGTGTGCACTGGGGCAGGACTTTCCTTTTAGCTGACCAGGAAGGTGAGAGGGAGAGAAGGACGCCCCGACTCCGCCCTTCCTAGCCCGCCCTGCTCCCCGCAGCCCGGAGAAGGAACTCGGCACTGGCCCTTTAAGCCCCGCCCGGGAGCGCCATTCCGGAATCGCAGGCCGGGAGGATCGGGTCACCGCGCGTCTCTTCCCTTCCTTGGTCCCGTGATCCGATCCGGAGAATGAGCCGCATCTACCAGGACAGCGCGCTTGGGAACAAGGCGGTGCGCAGCGCTCATTTTCCGGGAGCCTGGGACCCCTCCGCTCACCAGGGGTAGGTGAGCCGAACTAAGTCCGGGGTGGGGACAGTGGGGGGTCACGGTGGGGATCAGGGCTGCCAAAGCCGCCTCCGGCATCTCTTTCTTTTGACCCCCAGACGGGGCTGCCAAGGCCGTGCTCGGGCACCACCAGCTCTCACCACTTGGCACGCTGCTGTGCCCAGGGCCTTTGCACAAATGCAGGAGGTGGGCGGTGTGTGCGGAAGATCCGGAGCCACAGGCCCTGCCCAGGGTTTTGAGGAGGATGAGACTATTCCATTTACAATGACAAACCTGAAAGAATTATGCCCACAATCCCAGTTACTCTGGAGGCTGAGTCAGAAGGATTGACAATTTCAGCCCAGGCAGGACAATTTATCAATTTAGCAAGACCCTATCTCAAAATAAATAAGTAAATCGAAAGGGCTGGGAATGCATCTCAGTGTAAAGATTCGGTTTCAATCCCTAAGTGTAAAGGTCTGGGTTCAATCCTCAATATGGAAAACAAAACAAAATTATACTATGAGAAATAAGCCAGACTCAGAAAGACAAATACAGTAGAAACATGGAAAACATCCAGCTCACAGAAGCAGAGTGACCTTGGCTCTCAGGTTTGGGGACTGGGGAAGGAAGGTGACCAAAGGGTATGGACTTTGAGGTTCAACAGGAACAGGTTCTGGTGTCTAATGACAGCCTAGGGGGCAGCAGATGTGTGATTGTAACAATTGAACAATCACCACACAGTGTGAATGGTGATCAAGTTAGCATGTTGCACCCCTGGAATGTATACAATCTTTGTCAGTTAAATGTTTTTAAAAAGAATTAGGGGAGGGAGTGAATAGAGGCAAGTAAAGTAGGTGAATTTTCACTTCCTGCACCCCACCTCCTCCTCTGTCACCTTCTGCTGTCCCCAACCCTGCTCCATTTCTGTTTCCCAAAAGGAAGCCCTTAGGTTTTGCTTTTATGAAAACTCAAATTGGGAAGTGGGGAGGAGGCCAAGCTTCTCTCACTGTGGGACTGTGTGATCTTGGGCTACTCCCAAACTTCTGAGTCTCAAGTTCTCTGCCTGTAAATGACAATAATCATTTCCTTGGGTTATGATCTGGTGGTGGTAATGGGAACAGGAATAATATGAAAATATTTAAAAATAATTGAAAAGGGAAGATAATTTGTAGCAGTTCAGGTGCCTGCTCACAACTTGCTTAAATTTATTTATTTATTTATTTATTTTGGTTTTTTGAGACAAGGTCTCACTATGTAGTTGAGACAGACCTGGAACTCACTTTGTAGCCCAGGCTGGTCTCAAACTCACAACGATCCTCCTGCCTCAGCCTCCCGAGTGCTGGGATTACAGGTGTGAGTCACCACACCCGGCAAAACTTGCTTTAAATTTAAAAAATTGTATTTAATAAGCACTTAATAATTTACAAAGCACCTTTGCATATGGAAGCCTCCACCGTCATCTGAAGAGTGCAGCAAGGTGGCTTTTTCTCTCCATTTTGTGGTTAAGAAGACTGAGGCTTTAGTCAAGGTGACTCGATGTCCCTGAAAGAGGGGCCATAAGCCAGATCTGAAGGCCTAATAGGCTTCCCCCATCCTTGGGGCAGTGTCTGGCCTTTGGGACCCTGGGGGAGATGGAGACTCAGCACTGAGAGGCGCCACTCAGTACTGGGCCTGCTGAGGGTAGGGTACTAGGAGACTCTTGGGTGGTACATGCTCTGTCCCAGTGCAGGCTCTGACCTGCGCCACCGAACTCCAGTGGTGGCTCTTTCCTGTGACCGATGGAACCAGCATCCCTCTTTACTTCTTGTCCCTAGGGGAAAGGGCGTGCTGGTGGAGGGAGAGCTGGTGGATGTATCTCGACACAGCATCGTGGATGCCCACGGCAGGAAGGTCAGTTTGCAGCCTTGGTAGTGGCACTTGCAGGGCCACCCTCATCCACTGAGGTGTCCCAACTTCACCCAACAGGTATCCCCTTGTTTCAGGCTCTGCCAGTGCCCAGACACAGATGTAGCCTCTCCCGAGGGGCTCATAGTGGGCGGGAAGTGGGTCCAACATCAGCAACCCAACAGGATGAATAAGTGGACAGGAAACAGGGCCATGCTGGGCAGCAGACACAGGGAGGGCCTGGGTCACAGCTGAGAAGACCTAGCTTGGCCTGAGTGTTCAGGCTGCCCTGCCTGGGCCTTCGGTTCCCATGTCTATGTCCCTTTTGTCCTGGGGTTATGCTTTTTATTGCAGGTGCCCTGCCTGGCCTGGGCTTGCGTGGTTCCAGAAAAACATCACTGAGGGTCTCACTGCTGTCCCTAGGCCTTTCGGGACTCCTTGCCCATCAGATAAGCCCAAACTCTGGATACCAGCTCAGCATCCCACCTGCCTTCCCAGCCTGGGGTCCCATGAAGCTGCCCAGCGCCCTGCGTGGCTCCCACGCGCACATGGGCCTGTGGACCTGTACCCGACTTTTTTCTGAGTCCTCCTACACTTTGTTCCCACACTTGTGGATATCTCCACCCTTTGGTACTTCACCTTCCTTGTTCCCAGGGAAGTGGTCACCTTTCCTTCAGTCCCTGGGAACAGCTCTTCTACCTGCTTTGATCAGAACAGCCTGCAGCAGGGTTTAGAGGCTCTTTCACTTCCTGTTTCACATAGTGCCCCAGCTCTGTCATGGCCCTGGACCTACAACATTCCCAAAAAGAGGATCACCTTGTTCCTGGGTGCCAAGGGACACTGAGGCTCAGAGGCTGGGAATGATTTGTATACAGTTCCATCAGTGCCTTTCCCGTGGCACCTTAGCAGTGCCCACTGTCCCTGGCTGTGTGGGAGCCCTTCTCGGTCATGGAATCCCAGCATGCAAAGGAGCTCCGGGTGCAGCAAGTGTGTCGGGTGCTCCAGTGAACACATGAATGAATGTGTGTGTGAATGGGGGCATCTGCACTGTTGGAGCCAAGGTGGGATTCTGGGCAGGGTGTGAGGCTGTGAGGCTGTGGCCAGAGCCACTGTGGATGTGCATGTGTGTGCGTGTGTGTCGGGAGTAGGTGGTAAAGAGCCCCTCACCTTGTCTCTGCCTGCCCAGGAGCGCTACTATGTGTTGTATATCCGGCCTGGCCGCATCCATCACCGAAGATTCGACCCCCAGGGGAAAGAAATCGAGCCCAACTTCAGCGCCACCAGGAAGGTGAACACTGGCTTCCTCATGTCATCCTACAGTAGGTACCCATGGCCCTTACTACCTCGGCCTCCAGGCCCACAGAAAGTGGCTTCTCTGCATGGGTTGCCCTTGATGCTGGTGTCTGAGCTCCTTTCCTGCTCCACAATTACTCAGAGGACCTTCATGTCCCACCTTGGCCCAAGGGCTAGACTTGCCTTCCTTAGTCCTGTAACTTGCTGCAGTCCGGCGGAATCCTCCGCAGCCTTGGCTTTGGGCTTTTTGTTTTTTGAAGCAAGTGTTGCTGTGTAGTTCAACCTGCCTTTGAACTCAGTGTGTAGCTCATGCTGGCCTCTGAACTCGTGGCCAACCTCCTGTTTCATCATCTTGAGTGCTGGGATTACAGGTATCTGCTACCGTGCCGGGCTGACTTTGGATGTTAACTTCCTTTGTGCAAGGTGCGGGTGCACTCTCACGTTGGTGATTAAGTTTCAGCCTATAAATGGTATGTATGGGGCACATGCAGATCATAACAGGCCCTGCACCCTCATTCCTCTTCACAGTTTGGCTGCAGAGCAGTCTCTGTGCTGTTTGCCCTGGGTGTGAGGGGTTAGAGCTGAATGGGAAGCTTTTTATTCAGTCATGCATTCAGCTGCTCATTTTTTCCCGAACCCTCACTGAGCCTGGTCATAGGCCAGTGCCTGTGCTGAGGGTCCACAGATGAGCAGGATGGGTCCTGAACTGGACATGTTCTCTGGCCTATAGAGTAGGGGACAGGCCTGGGACTGCAGCTTGCAGGGCTCTGCACCCAGGCAGTAATAGCCTAGGGGAGCCCTAGAGCAGGGTGCTTAATCCTGAGACAGAAGCTGGGAAGCATATGCCGAGGCATGGGTTCTGGCCCAGGTGACGGGAAACTACAGGGCTTCGATGTACAAGGAGCAGGTTTGGGGAGAAGAGCTGTTCAGAACATGCTGACTTAGAGTCACCCGCAGTCTTTCCCCTGGGGAGCAAAGTTCTGGAACTCGAAGAGAGGGCTCACTGGCAGGACAGGTGGGGTTGTCAGCAGTAGAGAGGGAAGGTATGGAAGTGTGTAGGGTCACCTGGAGGAGGAGAGAAGTGGCCCAAGAGGGCGCAGAGTGTCATAAGGAGCTGGAGAGGGAGCCACTGGAGAGGTCTGAAGGAGGAGGAAGGTGCCCGGGGCAGCAGGAGTGAGGAGCAGGTACCACCTGTGGCTCAGAGAGCCCAGGAGTGTGAACATCGGAGGGTCCTAGTGAGCAGGTTCCTGGGGACACTGCTGGGAGTGGCAGGAAGCCATGAGTGCCAAAGTCAGAACACAGGAAGGAGCTGGGGAAAGCTCAGAAGTGGGGAGCGAGAGACAGGTTCCTGAGCGGGGCTGTGCGCGTGCATATGTGTGTGTGTGTGTGTGTTGTGTGTACACACGCACATGCTTGTGCGTAGAGTCCTGGAGCCCAGATGGAGGAACCTGAAGCAGGAGGAGGAACCTCTTGCCCTTTGAGACCAGAGAGGAGGGTAGGCTTCAGGAAGGCAAAGGCAGCTGACAGGTGGGTGGGGTCGGGAAGGTGGCTGTTGTTTGGCTCTGTAGGTGAGAGGGCTTGTTTGCCTTGGCGGGGCAGAGGGTGGAGGAGAAGGAGCAGTTTGGAAGTCCTGTGTGAACAGGTACCGGGGGAAACCCACAGCATGTCCCTGACTGTGTGGCTGTGGCTACGGGGAAGGTGGCTGGTGTTCTGGGGGCACGCCTCCTAGGCAGGGCTCGGCTGACTGGGGATTTGGGGGAGAGGGCAGCTGTGGGGCCAGCTCTGGGATCACTGAGCTGGGAGTGGCCGCGCACGCCTTCCTGCAGGTTCTTGTGAGGCTCTCATGGAGCGGGGCTGCACTTCTTAGCCTGGGAGCGCCCGCCTCCACCCGGGCATCTGTAGGCAAAGAGCTTGGTTTGGTCCCTGAGCTGGTGAACTCTGCTGGGGCCAGGATAGTCAAACCAGCAGGGAGTATGGGGCCCACAACTTCGATTCTGGTTCCAACAGAACCCACTCCAGTCAGGGAGATGCCAAGAGCCTTGAGAGACCCTGCCTGGCCCAGGGGTCTCTGTGGGAAGGCAGAAGTGTGTGTTGTCTGTTTGAATCTTGCCTTCTCCTTTGCTGTGTGACCTTGAGCCAGTTTCTCAGATCCTGTCAGCCTTGGCATGTCAGTTCTCATGGAGGGTTTACTATATGCCAGAGACTGCCAAGTGCTTTTATACTTTTTTTCATTGAAACCGCCACAGTGGATGTCCTTGAGAGCTCTGCCGAATGGGTACCAAGTCCGGCCTTATAGGTGGCCATGAGTGTGTGACACTCAGCCCTCCCAGGCTCCTACGGCGCCCCAGGAGAGTGCTTGCTGTCCCAGCAGTTACGGTTGCATGCTGTGTCTGCAGAGGTGGAAGCCAAGGGGGACACCGACCTGCTCACACCCGAGGCGCTGAAGAGACTGGTGAATAAGCCCGAGCTGCTACCACTGACCGAGAGCCTCACACCCAACCAGACAGTGGCCTTCTGGATGCCCGAGGCAGAGATGGAGGCAATGGAGCTCGAGCTGGGGGCCAGGGTGCAGCTGAAAACACGGGGTGATGGCCCCTTCCTAGGTGAGCAGCATGGCCTCACACTGGTCTGATGCTCCCCCCTGCCCTTGTGTTTAGACTCCCATGGAACCAGATGGCCCTTTGAGATTTAGTCCCAAGTCCCTGTACAAGCGCTCTGGGGACATCAGCCTGCACATGCTAGGGTACCTCGCATCCCTCAATTCTTGTGGCTGACTCTGGTATCTAGTGTCTTGGGGATCCCCCTAGGGCCTCACTGACCATACCTAGGCCTAGGAGACCCCACCAGAACAGCCACAGCATCCACTATTCTGCCTCAGGGAGAAGGGACATTTGATTTGTCATTCTTTCAGAATCATTAGCGAAACTGGAGGCTGGAACCGTGACCAAGTGTAATTTTGCTGGTGACAGAAAGACAGGGGCAGCCTGGACAGACAACATCATGGCTCAAAAGTCTTCACAGGGGGCTGTGGTGGAGATCCGAGAGGAAGGAGATGGGGCAGAGGACGAGGAGTGGGTATGTAAAGGGGAGGGGACCATTGTGTGTCGGACTGGGGTGTGGTTGTGGTTGCACATCATGGCAGGAATTTTGTACGGGGTGTGTTTGGGGGTAGAATGAGGGATGGCCCCCCAGTTGATCTGAAGCCTATTCATGGTCATTTTTCTGAAGAATATTTCACCCAAAGATTTGAATTGATGTCCAGAGGCCCCAAATGGAACATTTAGAGCATAGAAGTCATAGAAAATGGGCTCTTGGTCTTGGTGATGCAGATGATGATGCACCAGAGAAAGTGGGGGCAGGAAGTGAGGAATGTGTGGGCTCCTTCCTACAAACCGAGGAGCTGCCAAGTAATGCCGTGAGGCCAGAGCAGGTGCCCAGGGCCCTAGGAGTACCAAGGGGCTCGTGTGTCCGATGACACAGAAGACCTCTGTGTAGTGTGCTGTGTTCCTGTCTTCACTCTGCCCCTTTGCTTTTCTCCAGGATGACTGACGTCTTGGGCCACGCATGCCTCTGGTCTGCTGCATCTTCTATAGCACCCTTGGGAATTTTCCCCCACAATCTTCCACCCTGGAGCTGGATAGAGCCGGCCAGCAAGCCTTACCTGATTCTTCCTATGGCCATCTCTGTAAACCTTTTAGCTCAGCCGAAATCAAATCCAAGACCCTGACATTGGCCAAGGGACCCCGGGCTCTGGCTTGTGGGGCAGGGGAATCCTCTTTGGATGCAAGTCTTAGCCTCCTTGGACATTTTCCCTTGGCGGCAGCCTTGTTTCAGGACAGTCGGAGAGGACCCAGACTTGGTACAGATTTGGGGGTACCCCTTGTCTAAATGCAGAAGTTCCAAGGGAAATTAGTGGCCCCTCTCTCACTATTCTTGTTCTTCTCTGCTCACCCTGCCCAGGCCTTTCCTAGCACTGTGTTGCAGCCTCTGCTCTCCTGGCCTCAGCTTCCCCTTTTCCTCCCCACCCCATGCCTGAGGTGCCAGTTCTTTATTCCTCTGATCCACGTCCCATTGAGGTTCCTGTCCTCTCACCTCCCCTGGCTGTTGTCCTGGTGCAGCTGGCCAGTCAGGGTCTTCAGACTCACTTTGCCTGTCCACGTCTGTTCATTTTTGTGGTGCTGGGGATGGAGCCCAGGGCCAAGTACAGTACACACTCAATAAGCACTAACCACTGAGCTATGTCCCAAGCCCTGGGCCACATTTTTGTTATTGCCTCTGTTTTTGTTTTATACTCAGAGAACTTTTTATGAACAAGGAAATATTCAAGAAAGAATTCCCCCACAGAGACTGTGTGCTTGTCAGGTGTTAGTGATTCCCCCCAGCTGGGAATCACACCTAGAGGAGGGAAGACATTTGGCTTTGCCTGTGAACACTGCCTTGCTGGGGAGCGGGCACACACCTGGATCTTGATGCTTCCCAGAGTCTCCGTGTCCTGGGTTGAAATCTCCATGTCCATGGCTTGTGGATCCTGCCTGACCTGGGGAAAAGGGGAAGTGATGTTGAACTAGTAATTACTGAGTCACCTTCATGTTTCTAATGCAGGGCCAGCTGCTTTCCAGGATTAACACAGCCACTGATGACTGAGTTCTACCTGGTACAGTCCTTGGGCTAAATACTTTATTCACTGTCTTCCTTAAGTGTCCCACAGTCCTGTCAGGTGCCTGTGATTATTATCTGTTTTTCCATGTGAATCTGAAGATTCATGCTCCACAGATAGTCCATACCAGACGGAGGAATTTAAGCCCATACGGATTTCAAAGCCTACATTCTTTACTCCTGGACTAATCTGTTTTCATGTGTATATTAACAGAGGAAAAAAAAGGAGCTCAGTGAGGTTAAGCAACCTGCCTAGTGGCAGAACCGGGACTCAGATCCAGAGCTGTCAAAGGCACAGTTATATGCCTTCTATTGTCCTCTGCTTCCTTTGCCTACTGAAGGGTCTCACACAAAGGAGCCAGAGGACGTGGGAGCCACTTCACTGGTGTCCTGTGTTCAAATGGGGGTGACTTACATGCAACTCATGCTGGGACCTTGGCCTTGGGGGTAGTCAGGGAGGCAGGTGAACAGGAGGGGACCTGGGGACTTTGATTTGGGGTAGAGGCTCCCAGAGGGGACACTCTGCTACCCAAATACTGGAGTCAAGGGGTATGACAAACTCAGGAGCAGGCCACCATTCCAAACAAGGAGGCCCAGGGTGTCTGGGGGGAGTCCTGAAATGACAAAAAGGGCTTGAGGTCTTGGAGAGGCTTCAGGAAGGGAAGAGCCATTGAAGCTGGAGCTTGGAGGGAGGGAATGTTTGAGAGGAGGTTGGCAGTGAGGCATGGGACCTTCAGGCCTGATAAGGCTTTGGGGACTTTGGCCTGACCACCTAAAAGCTAGTGGGCCTGTGGGGAGGGCAAGGTCTGATTTGCCTCTTTCAGAGCTCGGAGGATACCAGACAAATGGGAGGTGATGAGCTTATCAAGAAGTCACTACAGTTGTCTAGGGGATGGGTGACAGCAGCGACAGGGAAGATGGGGAGCAGAAGATAGGAGGAGAATAAACAGGAGGTGGAGAGAGGAATGGGTCAAGAATGCCATCCAGATTTGGCAAAGACAGAGGCTGTGGTGGGAAGGTTCTGGGCAACCAGCCCTCTGTGCAGAAGCCCAGTTTATCCCAGAAGTGGAGGGAGCTAAAATCAGCCACTTGGGGAAGGGAAATCCAAGTGGACCGAGGATGACAGCAGGGCTCCAGGCTAGCAGGTAGGGAAATTGAGGTAAGATCCTCTTCCCCAGGATAAGGACGAGAGTAGGGAAAACCGCTACGTCTCAGAGGTGGTGTGGGGACTCAGGACTCATCCTGGCACTGTGGATAGGAATAAAAGGCCCATAATTTTATTCAGTCATGTTCATAATTTTTGATGTTTTTAAAAAATATGCCTACATATAAAATTGGATATTACTTGTTCCATTAATGTTAATTGCTTCATATTGCTGTAGTCTTCACACGTGTGTGTGTGTGTGTGTGTGTGTGTGTGTGTGTGAGATTGGGAATGAAACCCAGGGCCTTGTGCAGGTGAGTCAAAGGCTCTAACACTAAGTTACAGCTCCAGTCTCTTATTATCTATTTATTTATTTCTTTCTACCGGGGATCAAACTACCTGTGCTTGCGAGGCAGGTGAGGTGCCACTGCGCTAAATCCCCAGCCCTCTTTATTTTTTAGTTCAACAGGGTAGTGCTAAATTGCCCAGGATGGCCTACAACTTGGGGAGGACTCCTGCCTCAATCTCTTGGGTAGCTGGGATTTACAGGCATCCACCACCTCAAGTGGGCGTATAACCATCATTTTTTTAAAAAAGGATGTTTGCTTATGAGTTTTGAACTTTCTTTCTTTCACTTTTTTATTAGTGCCTGTTTGCAGCAAATAATGTTTACATTCCTTGTATACTTCATTCCCTTTTTCATCTCTGTCCTTCCCCTCCCTCCAACTGCCTCCATCTCTTGATCCCATTCCCTTTGAGAAAGATCTGCCACCCTGCTTTCTATTATCTATCAGTTTTTTTGTTTTTGTTTTTGTTTTGGTACCAGGGATCGAACTCGGGTCCTTGACACTTGCAAGGCAGGCGGCGGAACCACTGAGCTAAATCCACGGCCCTTATCTATCAGTTTTAAGATTGATTATTGTTGAATAGTTCTGCTGTGGTCCAATATTTGGGTATTTAAATTGATATAATTGTTTCAAAAAGTGCTGAAGATGCTATGGTCTTCAAGCGGCTTCTCAACCACACATTTGTATTTTTCCATCATTTAGGAACAGATTCTCAGGAGTCAGATTACTGGAATCTAGGAATGTTTTGTAAAATTCTTATTATGTACATGTAACCACTCCCCAAGATGATTATAAACTTCATGAACTGCAAGCATATACTAATAAAATTAAAAATTACAAAATATCTTGTTGCCAAATAGCTTCCTCAAAGGTTGTTCTAAGTTGTAGTTTCACCAGCAGAGTGTATGAGAGAACCATTTTAATGCCACTTTTGCCAGAATTAGATATCAAAACATTTAAAAATTATATTTGATAAGGTGAAAGTAATACTGTAATATATTTTAATTTGCTTTCCCCCCAGTTTATTTATTTTTTTTTGTAAATATTGATTTTGGTACCTTGTGCTTGTGAGGCAAAAGGCAGAACCACTGAGCTAAATCCCCAGCTTCCTCTCACTTTAGAGTGAACTTAAAAGTTTTTTTTCATTTCCTGCTCTGTTTCTTCTGTTACTCCTCTGCATGTTTTTCTACTGGGGGGGTTCCTAAACTTTTTGATTTATCAGTTATAATGTGACCATTTGCTGTATTTTAACTTTTCCATTAAAAATTTTTTACACACAAATTTAAATCTTTATATAGATATAGCTGTTATGTGCTTTTTTTTATTGTCTCCAAGATAATACATATTCTTTTTTCAGATATTCAATTTCATTTTCTTCTTTTGTTAGTATTCACTTTTTTGTTTTTTGTTTTATTTTTTGTACTGGGGATTGAACTCGGGTTCCTTGTGCTTGCAAGGCAGGCGGCGGAACCACTGAGCTAAATCCCCAGCTTAGTATTCAGTTTTATACTAAGCTCTTTATTCTACTTGCCCTTTTTATAGGAAGGTATTCAGTGAGATAACAACTGCTTATTTTAAAAAATAAATTTTATTTTATTTGGTCTCATCCCTTCCTCAATCTCCCTCCCCTCCTTATGTGCAAAAGCTTTATTTTCATTGCTTATTTTCAAATTGCTAACCAGTTATCTTAACAGTACTTACCTAATTCCTTCCTCCCGTCAAATCATGATGTCTCCTATATCACATATTAAAATTATTTTGTCTAAATTACTATATTTGGTAAGGTTCACTTTAGCTGCAATTCAAGGCAGGTGCGGCACCTACTGAGCTACATCCCCAGCCCCTTTAGCTAAAATTCAAACCATTGAAATGAATAAAAATTAAAAAAAAGAACAATTCAAACCATTGTAGATTTAATTAGTTGGTGGAGCTAGTTTCTCGCCATTGTTTTAGAATATTCTGTGGTATTCCTCCACATTTGAACTTTTTTTTCAATTTTCAGTGCAATTACCTTTTAGATTTTTATTTATTAAAAAACTCTAGCTACAAAAGCAATATACATTTATTGGAGAAAAAAATCTATAATTCCATCCTGCAAAGATGTTTTAAAATCATTAATGTGGCAACTCAATTATGTGCCTGGCACTGTTCCAAGTGCATACAAGTATTAACTCCTTTTGCGTTTTTAACAACTGGCAAGGGGATCATTTTCCAGTCTTGCATTGAAGAGAACTAATACGATGGGCTGTTCTGGAGATGTTCTGCCATCAACAGCCAGAATCAAGGCAATGTGGTTCTAAGGCCTATGCTGAACAAACACCCCGACGATGCTGTTCCATCAGATGACACTGCTGTCACATTTTATTGCATTTATTTTTAATGTAGACAAAATGTCCCCGTATGTACTTCATGCTCTTAACAGATAGCTCATGAACGTTTCCCCGTATCATAATAAATCTTTCACAGCATGATTTTGAATAACTATTTTGAATTTCTCATATGCATATAGACAACGTATTTAACCATTTTTAAAAACCACTTTCTCATTTTAGAATAAGTAATTTGCTTCCCATTTTCCCCAGTAATAATAACACTGCGGAGATGCACGTTCGGCAGTCTAACCCTTTTCTCACACCACAATCATTTATTATAAACTCTAGCACTGTAAACCCTGAGTCTGCCGTTCCACCAGTCACACAGTCCTAGGGCTTTTCTTCATCACCGCCCAGCATAGCTCTAGAGCACCCACGCTGGGTCAGAGAAAGCAGAACCAAGAGCTGTACCGATTTGTGATAGCCGGTATCTTTGACATGGATTTGCATTAAAGATTGCCTAAATCTGCCTGGATTCTAGGGTTAGCGGTCGGTCTAGGTGAGGGGCACAGACCCGGCTCGTCTGTGTCCTCACTGCCCTAACCAAGAGAGGACCCTCCCCCACCCCCACACCCCCGGCTCCCGGGAGCTTGCGAGGCCGGACCTTTCCGATACCGGGCTAAGTTTCCGGGAGCGCTCTTAGGAAAGCACCCACCGGAAGTGTCCGTGTTTTGTCGGAAGGAGGTGCTTGCCTGGAGCAGGTGGTACGGAGAGGAGCTTGGCTGGCAAAGATGATTCAGGCGATTTTGGTTTTCAACAACCACGGGAAGCCGCGGCTGGTCCGCTTCTACCAGCGTTTCGTGAGTGCGGTCCGGTTTCGCCACGCCCGGTCACGGCGTCCGTGTCCTCTTCCTTCCCCCTTGGCCCCTGGCCCTTGGCTCCTTAACATCCGGGGGCACAACTCGCTGATGTCTTCGGGCTCCTGCAGTCAGGACCCTCACAGTACTTGGCCTCTTTCCGGGACTGGGGCGGCCCCAAGCCTCTGTCAAGATCCCTGCCCTTCTTTGACCGCTTTCGGGACCTTGCGCTTGTGAGGCAGGCGGCGGAACCACTGAGCTAAATCCCTGGCCCTTCTGATCTCTTTCTGAACCCCTCCATTTCTGTGCCGTTGTGTGACACTACCCTTGCGTCTCAGGCCTCCAGATAAAGCGACGGTGGGGAGTGTGCCTGAGAACCTGAATGTTTGAAGTCAGTTTCTTTTTTTGTGGCACCGCGAATCAAACTTCCAACTTTACAGGCGCGGTGCCCCTAGGCTAAATCCCCGGCCCAAAGTCACTTTCTTTAATCGTTTTGATTAACCACACTTTTCCCTAGAGAGAGAAGGTCAGCTTCTCAAAGTTACCCCAGCCCAGGGAGTCTGAAAACATTCTCTCTCAAAATTATTTTGCTCCAGGGTTGTCTGGGATCCAACCGGGAGCGGATGCTCAGCATTCCATAGATCTGAAGACAATCACTCGAAAAATGGGGAAAATAATGAGAAATTATAGATACTACCACGTGAGGGCTTATTCAATGTTCACGTCAAATTGAATTTTCCAAGAACATCGCTTGAGAAAAATACATCATTACCCCCTCCCTCCCCTTTTTATTCCTGTACCAGGGATGGAACTCAGGACCTTTCGCATGTGAGGTAGGCGCGGAGACAGTCTTATTTTGTAGTTCAGGATGGCCCTGAACTCACTGTGTAGCTCAGGCTGACCTTGAACTCATGGAGATCCTCCTGCCGCAGCCTTCTGAGTGCTGGGATTACAGGCGTGTACCACCATGCTTGTTTATCGTGTTTTATTTATGACTAAGTTTTGAAATACTTAACTGGGGACTGGATGAAACCCAAGAGGAGATAGAGTCAGCAAATTTACCTTCAGGCTTCAGCTCTAACTTTTCTACTTTTGTGTCTATTGGCACATTAATAAAGCAGTCTGGGAGTCTGAAGGAGGAGGATTGTAAATTTGAGCCTCAGCAATTTAGCAAGACCCAGTCTCAAAGAACAAAAAAATCATTCACACTTAATTCCTCTTTTCTCAAACAGACATGCAAAAGTAATTTACTCTTAGGAGTTTGTTTGTTTTCCAGTTGTCCTTTTGATTTCTTTGTTTTTTGAGGCAGGGTCTCCCTTTGTAGTTCAGGCTGGCCTTGAACTCATTATGTAGCCTAGGATGGCCTCGGACCTGGGGCAATACTCCTGCCTCAGCCTCCTGAGTGCTGGAATTACGGGTATGTGCCACTGTGCCTGGCTACTCAGCAGTTTAATTTTTTAGTAGATTGCACTGAAGTTTAGAAAAAATGAGCATTCAGTAAAACAATTCAATTCTTAATTTGTGTGAACAGGGTTATTGAGAAATAATTTACATAGTTCACCTATTAGAAGTGTACAATTGAGTGACATTCATCACAGTCAATTTTTTTAACTTAACTTTTTTTTTTTTAACTTTGGTGTTTTGGGGACAGGGTCTTGCTATGTAGTTCAGGATGGCCTTGAACTCACTATGTAGCCCAGGCTGGCTTTATACTTACAGCAGTCCTCCTGCCTCAACCTCCTGAATGCTGGGATTACAGATGTGTGCCAGATATCTTGAACACTGAAGAGTATTGAAAGATGAGTTGTTACAATAACTGAGCAACATAAGCAATTGATAATTGGTAGTTTGTCTTTTTTTTTTTTCTCCCTCCATTCCCAAGAATTTAACCCAGGGCTTTCATACT